GTAAAATATCAGAAATCCAAAATCGCGTGACATCATATGGTTTTTATAACCAGCAAATAGAAAACAAATTGTTTCACAATGCCTTTTCAGCAGTTCTGATTGTTCGGGGGAAATTCCAAACAATAATGGTGCATCTTTTGTCGAAATAATGAATGTAATCAGAGTAGAGAGAGTCAAGTAGAAATCATCTGCCTCACAGGCAACGGGAGGGGTGAGAAGGGGGGTATATTGGGGTTCTTGGTGGTGAAAAATAATTACTGGTGAAGGGAAGGATGTTTGATCATTGTATGACCGAGACTTAAACCTGAAAGCTTTGTAACTTTTCTCATGGTGATTCAATAAATAAATTTAACAACAACAACAAAAGAAATTAAAGAAATAAGTACATAATTTATAATAAACCATCCATATGTATGTATAGCAAAAAAAAAAAGGGAAGCAAAGTGAAACAGGCTAATCAAGTCAGTGGTTCCTCTGAGGAGCACTTGCAGATGGAGAACCTGAGGGGAGCACTCAAAGCACTAGGAACTTTCTAGTCTTTGACTTCAGTACCAAATCCCTGAGAGCAGTTTTGCTGTGGAATTACACCCAGCTTTGCCATTACAATGTGTGCCCTTCTCTGTGTGTGTCCATGTTTTGTGTGTGTGGTGCAGGGGGAAACCTCACAGTGCTCAGAAGGCACAAGGGCCCCAGGTTCAATGCAAGGATGCAGAGCTCTTCCTGTCCCACGGTGTCAGGGATGGCTTAAGTCACCACAGCAGTGTTAGGGGGTTTCCAGGAATACACCCAGTGATGCTGAGGGTCAAACCAGGGTTGGCTGCATGCCAGGCTCAGGCCTCACTCCCTGCTTGTTCAGACCCTCTTTAAATGTATTTTATAAGTCCCATGGTGGGAAACGCTGGCAACTGTTGATACAGTTGACTATTTTATAGGCTCTCGCCAGTTAGTAACAGGAGCAGAAAGCGTTCTCGAGAATAAAGATGCAGACAAGGGAATAATACGGCATTAAGAGAACAGGTGCGGCTGGAGATGACGTAATCTAGGAACTTTACAATTTATCTGCTACATACAAGTGATGCATCAATGTTCTACAATATGGAGAAATTACATTTTCCCTGTCCAAGGCAGTGGCTAGATAAATAAAACAAAACTTCCAATGCCTATTGATGGCCAAGAAACAAAGATACTCTAAAAAGATCGCTAAAACTCTTATCGTGCTTCTCTTGTAATTTTTTTGTAAACCTCTGTAGCTTGTGATTATTCTCACCAAGAGACCACGCTTAACCATCTAGATTCTGATCCATGGTAGGTATTTCCTGCTTAGGAGCTAGCAGGAGGAAGGCATTATAAGGCCACCATGGGCCCTTCTAATCCAAACTACTAGCACTAAACACGAAAGTTCAATCAACAGTGTTGATATGCCATACCACATGGTCTCTCTGAGCACCACTGAGTGTGATCTCCCTAGCACAGAGCCAGGAGTAGATGCCAGTACCCTCAGATGTAGCACTATCAAAACCAAAGAAGGAATACAATACAAACTGGAGCTGGAGAATCGGGGATACGGATTCCAGCATCTGATACCCCCAAATAGGCATAGGAAGTTTGTTGTTTTAGAAATGTCACCTGAAAGCCTGGGGGTACAATGCAAAGACCGTCTTCCTAGAACCTCTCCCTGTTTACACTCAGATCATAGCTCGAGGAGGATCTCACTGTGATTGGTGGTGACCAATGTTTTACTGATGAGGTGTTTAACCTGCCTCCTTTTGACTTCCAGACTGAACCCACACCCAAACATGACTCGAGCAACTCTCAGGGTAAAGGTAAGATATTCACGCAAAATATGAGGGTGATTAATCAAGGTCACTCAATAGCTGACAGGAAGTGAGAATTGCATAACTCATCAACTTTCAATGTATTAATATCTACCTAGTGAGGTTCTAATGCTCCCGTATGATTTCTCAAGCATGAGGGATCTTCGGTTCACTTGAGCAGCTACAATAAAAATGAGTCAAATTTTCTGTTGTTTAAAAAGCGGAATCAATAGGGAGACTCAACTCTTTACAACTTTAGGAAGAAATAACAGAGAGTTTTTACTTTCTTCTTTATGTTTCCCCATCAACTAACAGATATTCAATAATGTATTGAGCACACTTTTAATAATGCTTTTGTAATAAGATCCAAATGTTTATGACTTCGTACTGAAAATTATAAAGGATGGCCTAGGAGGATAGAAACAAAGAGGCAAACACTTATGAAAAATGGTGCAGAGGACAGCAATTGTTAAGCAGAAATTAAACTCCCAAATCGTTCCCTATGTTTCCCTTTAGTTCCAGCCTCTGTACATCTTACTCCTGAAGGCAACCTGCCTTCTTTCCATTGCCACAGCAGAGTTGTCAACTGGAAGTGATTCTCTTCCCACTCAAGTATCCTTATATAGTTTCAATCATAGATATAAACACCAAACATGCCTAGCAGCATACACAGCCCATATTTTGTTTTGTTTTTGTTTTTTACAAATCACGGACATTTATTTTCTTTTCCATTGGGAAGCCTTTCTGTTAAAAATTCAATTAAGAAGAATCATGTTTAGTCACCCATATCCAATTAGATTAACAGGGTAGTGTTCGAATGCAATGTGATTTCTCATGAGGATTTAAACCCCACAGGAATCAGTTAGCTTTACTTGTCTGCTGATTGGGGTGCTGCCTCCAACCAAACCAGCCATCCCTCTACATATCGGGATTTGACTCATCAAAAACATCGTATGAAAATAGGAGATTAATACCCAAGAATAGCCGAGATCAGTACCAGGAGGATTACTCCATGGCTTAGAGGCCAGCCGGGCATTCTAGGGGAAAGAGCAGCTCAGATAGAGAAGGGAGCCCAAATAAAGGGTGTCTGAAGGATCCTCCCAGGAGGGGAGATGCATATTGAAAGTAGACTATGAACTGAACATGTTTGCCACTCAATGCCTCTTTTGCATACCACAACACCCAAAAGGAGAGAGAGAACAAAAGGGAATGCCCTGCCACAGAGGCAGGGTGGGATGCAGGGGAGGAATATTATCCATGGTGGTGGAAAATGGGCACTGGTGGAGGGATGGGCACTGGTGGAGGGATGGGTATTTGATCATTGTATAATCGAAACCCAAGCACAAAAATTTGTAAGTTTACAACTGTACCTCATGATGTTTCACTAATAAAAATTATTTTAAAAATTAATTATGCAATAATAAAACCTTGTAGTATACACACACACACAAAAAACACATCGTATGGTGATCAAAAAAAAATGAACAAAAACAACGTTTTCTAGTGAGCTTCTTCACACACAAAGACAGAAAGTTGTTAAACAGATCCTATCACTCTTCTTGGAAGACTTCCAAAATATTTCTTTAAAATGTGCTGGTGGTATTAAATCAATCATTTCAAGGGTGAGGCAAAAACAATGGTACTCATTCCCCAAATCTGGTAACGGGCTCTGCTTTCAAATGAGAATGACAATGGTCTGTGTCACCTTTCCTATAAAAACAAGCCACTCAGAAACCTGGATTAGTTTCACTATCATCATCCATGCTTCTTGGGAAGCACAAGCCATCATCTTTCATAGCTTGGTTCATGAGCTACTTTCATGCGCTATGCCTCCCATCCCAGTGCTCACCAGTCACAGACTCTGGGAATGAAACACCTAGTACTCTTCCCAAAACAGTACTCAGTATGGCATGCCGGGCACCACGTCTTCAATCAACCAACTGGCCATGCATGGATATTTTTTCATAAATGCCTACCACGCTGGGTCTCATGAAAATTCACTGAATCAAAGTTGGAAAATAAAGAAGCAGAAAGTGTGTAGTGATTCAATGGTTTCTTAGATTGTTAAACCACTGCTGCATTTTTGGGTATATAATTCAGACCCCAGACATGGCCTTCTCTTACAAGAAATGGACCACATTCAAAAAGCAACTCAAGGGCTGGAGAGATAGCACAGAGGATAGGGCGTTTTCCTTGCACGCAGCCGACCCGGGTTCGATTCCCAGCATCTCATATGGTCCCCTGAGCACTGCCAGGAGTAACTCCTGAGTGCAGAGCCAGGAGTAACCCCTGTGCACCGCCAGGTGTGACCCAAAAAGAAAAAAAAACTCAAATGGTAGCATGTTCAAGTTAAAAAATACATATATATAGCCATAAAGCAAAGTACTTCATTTCAAGACAACTGTATTAAATCTGTATCCGTGCTGCATTTCAATATTTTTACTTAATTCCTGGCACCACAGAGAGGATTTCTTAAATGTAAATATTTTAGTACATTGGATAACACATATAATAGAAGTGGAACCAACTTTCATCTCTAGTCTACTTAGATCTAGAGTATAAATACGTGGTTTTGCCAAGAGGATGCATCCAAAACATGATGGAATCTGAGCTAGATTTCAATTTTGCTTTCATCCATCTCTTATCCAAAAATAGCTCACTAGACAAAGATCTGGAAAAGCAAGGAAGCATTTTTTAATCTCCCAAAATTTACATGCGTGCCTAATGCAGAAGTCTGAGTCAGCTACAATGGGCTTTATATAACACTAAAATAAAAATCTCCATCTTCTAAAACAGAAAATGAATTTCATTTAAAGGAGATCTTTCCGCACACTTGAAATGTTTGAATAGTAAGTCAGGCTACCATTTGTAGTGCTCGTTTGGTCAGTGGTTCAAAGTCCTCACAAATTTCAGAATTTAATAATGCTGCCTAATGAAGCTTTGAAAGTGCCCAAATGAGCTTCCCCTGAAGGAACAGGATTGCCTAGTTCTACTAACAATACCGTTTTACTACACGCTATCATTCAAAGCAGCACAATAATACAACATGGTTAGGCCACTTAAGCGCTGAAGCGATTTCCCATTAGGAGGTGGAAGGAGAAGTTACAGGCACTATTTGCTAAGAAGATGAACAAAGTCCAGAGTGAATGGCCTGGTCTCAGCAGCGCTGATGGAGGAGATACCTACCTCTCTCTTTCTCCGTCTGTGGCATCATACAGGCGGTTGGCACCTCCGTCAGCACAGGCTCTTAAAACAGCTTCACATAGAAAAAGAAAACAAAGAGTGTTTCAGCCTAGGAGCCCACAACATCATCTCTCTGACAGATATCCAGAGAGACCCAACCCCCGATGCCTCCCCCAAGGGTCATTTCCCATCCAGTCACTGGTGCCATTGTCCCCAGAATGGATATCCCACAGGACATGTATACATGACGAAGACAGAATTGTCGAATGTGGATCACCTCCTCTGGGCACCTCTGATCTCTCTTCCTAATCAAGGAACCGTGTGGCATCACACCACAGGTCTTCGTGTGACTGTGGAAACAGAATCTGCTTGAAACTCAGCTCCCTATTCTCTTCAGTTGTCCAGACACTTTCTATTTATGGCAGACATTACATAGCTCCCTATTTTATTGTGATAGACATGCTTGATTTAAAAGGTAAAGGTAAAAGCCCTCCCGTTGATCGTCGATTTGCTCGAGCGGGCCCAGTAACGTCTCCATTGGAGACTTTGTTGTTACTGTGTCTGGCATATCGAATACTCTCGGTAGCTTGCCGGGCTCTCCGAGAGGGGCGGAGGAATCGAACTCGGGTCGGCCATGTTGGCCGCTTGTAAGGTGAACGCCCTACCTGCTGTGCTATCGCTCCAGCCCATGCTGGATGCTTGATTTAAAAATTTAAATTTAAAATATGCTTGACTTAAAAATTAAAAAAGTATAATACACCGAGTTTCCTATAAAATACTATACAGCACAACACTGAGATGAGTATTTGGTCTCTGGCTCCACGTGGGCTCCCATACAAACACCACAAAACCCTGACTCGTCCCACACAAGCCCCACAAAACCCTGACTCGTTAGATCTGCATTTCTCAACAGGGGTCCATATGGATGCCCGGTGATCCCTAAGACATTCCAAGAAGGCAACAGTTGAAAATCATGTAAATGTGGGTGAGTAGGGGGCAGGGCAAGAGACTAGGGGGCCCACAGGTAGGGGGGTTTAAGAAACAGTGACATTGTCACTGTTTGAACTTGGTAAAAGTTGTGATGGTGAAACAAACTAAAAAAGAAATACTGATTGAGGTAAGGGGAAGAGAGTACCAAAACAGGGACTTGGTCTAGACAATTCAGTGCTGGGTCCAGCTATGCTGTGCTGCTCAGGGACCATATCCTAGGGTCTAACATGATGGCAGGTCCAAATATGATGGCAGGAAGAATCCGGGGAAATGCACAGCCAAGGATGGAACTCAATTTCTGCCTCCATGTCCCTAGGTGTTTTTTTTTTTAATTTTTATTAGTGAAACACCACGAGGTACAGTTGTAGACTTACAAATTTTTGTGCTTGGGTTTCAGTTATACAATGATCGAGTACCCAATCCCTCCACCACTGTCCATTCTCCACCATCACTGATCCCAGTATCCCTCGCACCTCCCAATTCTCCCCATCCCACCCTGCCTCTGTGGCAGGGAATTCACTTTTGTTCTCTCTCTCCTTTTGGGTGCTGTGGTTTCCAACAGAGGCATTGAGTGGCAATCATGTTCGGTCGACAGTCCACTCCCAGCACGGATCTCCCATCCTGGGCAGATCTTCCCAACACCCTTTATTTGGTGCTCCCTTCTCTATCTGAGCTGCCTTTTCCCCTAGCATGTGCGGCTGGCCTCGAAGTCATGGAGTGAACCTCCTGGTACTTATCTCAGCAATTCTTGCGTATTAGTCCCCTATTTCGTTACTTTATGTCCCTAGGATTTAATAGCACATGAGGTATCTCCTGGTCAGAGTGATGGCAAGAGAAACTGCAACGTACACTTAATCAATCCATGGTAGATGCAACTATTTCTGGGTTCCTGGTTATACCAGAAACCAAACAGAGCCTAAGAACAACAACAACAAAACACTACTTTCTGGTTTCAACTTCCTCTTTAATAAGTGGAGATAGTCTCACCTAAGCAGGGGATTATTAAGCACCTAATGACTGAACAATTCTATACAATGCTCCTATCAATACCGGAACACAGAACAAGAAACATGAATCCTTTTCTTCCACTTTTGTTAGAATTGAAAAATAAAACAATGTTCTTAGAAAAGAAGAGCCCAGACTACTAAGAACATGAAAACAAAAATAAGAATTTTTACAAAAGCACCTAATATGGGATTCTCATTTTACCAATAACCACAATACACACACTCTTTGATGGATTGGTGTTCAACTGCAAATGGTGCCACAAACACAACTTGCAAATGATCACAAAATGTTCTGCACAATTCTCAAATATGAAAGCCCAAACATCATAAGCTAAAAGGGAGATCATCTCACATATTAAATATAGCATAAAATAACTGAATAGGGGAATTGAAAAGATTAATAAATGAAAACAGATGTCAGTTAACAGAAACAGAGAGAAAAATGATAATTACCCTCAAGATCTACTGAAAAATTTTCTGTAAGCAAAATAGTAAGTATATAAGATTACATAATATAAAAACTGATTCATTCAAACAAGATAAATATCCCCCAAATAGTTTTGAATGACCAAGCATTATCCAAACAGAATAACATTGATTTTCACAGTATTTTATACCAGAAAGAGGTGCTAGAGCCAACATTTATACCCATCATGTGCCAAGCCCTATTTAGAATAAAAAAATGAACACCAAACAGATTAACCCTCTCCAGACTCTCCCCAAAATGGAAAAAGAGAAAGGTAAGCAGAATTTCACAGTAGGCAGTGGACACTGATGAATTCTTTAATGGAAGCAATAAAATGCTGGGAGAGGACAGGGAGGAAAAGAAAACTTTGCATGTGAAATCTGTAAAATCATTTATCACTAAATTCAGTTTAGTTAAGATCCACGTTACTTCTACAATCTAAAGCCTTTTTATTTTCTAACACCCATTACTTCTCACACAAAGATTTAAATTGATGGTTTTAGAGTAGCATATAAAAAGAGAAATATCAACATCACTGGAAATAATTTGTCCAGATGTTTTCTCTTTAAAATAGACAGAACTGAGCCTGCAGGCGATCCTGCAATTCCACTTCTTGGCATCTACCCCAACAGCCCAAAAACTCTATTCAGAAAAGACATTAGCACTCCTATGTTTGTTGCGGCACTATTCATAACAGCTCAGATCTGGAAACGACCCAAGTGTCCAAGAACAGATGATTAGGTGAAGAAACTATGGCAGATATACACACAATGGAACATTACTCGGCCATAAGAGAGAACAAAATCATGCAATTTGCCTCTTCGGAATTGAATCTGGAGAGGATCGTGCTTAGTAAAGTCAGGAGAGGAAGAAGTATGGAATGACATCTCTCATGTGTGGATATACAGATACATACGGGAATAATAAATGATCAGATACAACAGAACCTGATAAATTGACAGGATTAAGCTTACCCTGGAAGGGGTGTGGGGAAGCGAAAGGTGTGGGGAGGGAAGGAGGGGTGCACTCTGGGACAATGGCGGAGGAAAGCAGACACTGGTGAGGGGGTGGTGCTGGGATGTCACAAGAATGGAACTCTACCATTGGCAATGTTGTCAATCACAGTGCCTAAAATTAGAAGAAAAAAAACAGAAGGCTGTAGACTAAATACCAAAAGAAGTTGTTGCAATAACTCCTATGAGAGCTAAAGTATAAGTATTATTAAACTATAGGAATAATATACAGAATATATGTAGGTTGGGAGGAAGAGTTCGATCCATACGCAAACAACTTCAAGTTCCAAGATGAATCAAAAGCTATTTCATTTGGTTCGCAAGAAGGTTTGAGAAAATACGTGTTCTATCGCTTTAAAATTTTATTCATACAAATGATTAATATTTGTCAGAAATGTTTTGACTAGCTTGAATATCTCTCAGGAAAATACATCAAATTGCATTTGAAAAAATACGATACTTCAGCGTAGAGCAAATAACATTTCACAAATGCACCGATAACAATTTGAAATACAAAGCAAGCCAACAGAGCTGCTCACGCAAATGACCGGCCAAAGGAACAAGAGGGAACTCTTTAATGAGATATTTTTGATAAATCATAATGAATGAACCTCAAAACTACATTCACTTCATCATCATTGAAACTGTTCCAAGTGTTAATGAATAGAAGTTACTGCATGAGTTATTTCTCAAGGCAAAATTTTCATTGTCTTACACAGCAAAATTTTTGCAAATTTGTCAAATACTCTGACTTCAATGGTTGAGCAGTTATTTACTATGCATCTGGCTAATGAACAACTGAAGACTGAAATATATTAAAATCTCTACCGATGATACTTGTTCGTTCCTTAATCCATATATTAAAACACATCTTGCATTAAAAAAGAAACAGACAAAATGTAACAGCATTACTGACAGATAAAGAAGAGCACAACTCAAAATCAGAGATTACTTGGCTATTTGATTAATTTCTGTTAACGTTGGAAAGAAATTATTAGACTTTGTGAAAAGCAGACTTTTAAATTAGTTTCGAGTATTAGGATGGAAGAAAAAAAATAAAAACCAAAGCTTTTTGCAGTTTCAATTAACTGAGAGAATAAAGACTACGAAGGATTTTGACTCTAATCCAGATCATTAGTCCTGTAACTCTGAGCTAATCCCAACTATGTGTCTTCACATGGAAAACATTATACACAGTTTCTAAACTTCACAGATTTTTCTGAACAGAGCACTGGTAGTCACTAAACATGCAAGTTAGTGACACGATTTCCCAAGTATCAGCAGGAGATTCTAATTGGCATTTCAGAAGGTAAGAGTTTTTTCTTTTGCTGGGCTTTGATTCCAGTTGTTACTTAAGCACCATGATTTACATTAATAATTCAACTTTATTATCAGCAGCATAGTATTACAAATGCAGTCTGCAATGTACATATAAAATATATATATGGTGTCCTCCAGAAGTGTCTTATGGTCCCTCCCACTCAACCACTACCCACCCTACCCCTCAATACAGTCAGTTTTATTTTGTTTTCTGATGTTGACAATTGATAAGAGGCTTACACTTCAATATTTCACTTATGGTCTTAGTCCCGAGAGA